GGGGCTTGAGTTCAAATTCCAGCTCTCCCCTCTCCCCCACTAGGCCAACTAGCTATGCAACCTTGAGTTAGTTCCTTCCCCTTTCTGGACCCCCCTGCTTCTTCATCTGTGGAGTGAGGATGAATGACAGCTCCTACCCAGGGATCGATGGTGGCGAGAGGCCTTGCACCTACAGCGGCCTACACAGTAGGAACTCAATCTGTTGTCTGGTTGCTGCAGTGCCATCCTGCCGCTTTGGACTCATAGTCGATTCTTATCTCTCACGACAGATTACTATTGCCCCGTGGGGTTTCCTAGCCTATCATCTTGATGGGAGGAGATTGCCAGATCTTTTATCCCACGGAGCTCCCTGGTAGGTTTGAACCATTGGCCTTTTGACTCGTGGCTGAGTGCTTACCCAGGGCTCTGCTCCTGGCTCAGTCCAAGGTGGCTAATTATATGAAGCAACATATGGCTAGGAGCCGATGGAAAGATAGCTGTGATGGCAAGAGGTCAGAGAAGTAAGTTATAGCGGATGGGCAATCAAGGTGGGCTTCCTGGGGGAAAGGGCCTTGGCTCTAGGCCTTGAAAGATGAGATGGAGCTGGAGAGGTAGAGAGCAGAGGGCTTTCTGCAGGATGGGGACGAAACAAAGGGAGATAGTCAGGGAATGAATACTCAGGGGCTCAGGCTTCAGGACTGAGGGACAGGAGGCTGAAGTAGAAGTTTCATGTTAGGAAATGTTGGCACTTGATCTTATAGGCCAGCGGTTCTCAACCTTTGGGGGTCGAACGACCCTTTCACGGGGTTTGCCTGATTCACAACAGCAGCAAAATTACAGTGATGAAGTGGCAACGAAAATAATTTGATGGTTGGGGGGGATCACCACAACATGAAGAACTGTTTTAAAGGGTCGAGGCATTAGGAAGGTTGAGAACCACTGTAAGATAGTTAGCTTGGCCGATAAACACATGTGGGGTTAATTGAAGGGTGGAGGGATAAATGGCTCAGTGAGCCTCGCCTTTCGAGTTCTCGGGT